ACGGGGGCACTGCCTCGGGCATTGGAGAGTGTTTAGCAGCATCCTCTACCACAGTGGTGGAGCCCTCAGTGATAACAGCCCGCTGTAGCGCACGTGCTGGAGGTTCACCACCACTGCTCTATCCTGTACACCAATAGCTCCCTTCCTCTCTCCTCTCCTCCCTTCTTCTTCCCTGCCCTCTCCTCCCCCCCACAGACATTCTCCAAACATTGCCAAATGTTGGGGAAGGGTCAAAGTCACTGCTCTTACATGTCCATAAGAAAGATTAAAATAGTTTACTATTTTTCTGAGTATTTTTAATGTATGTAAATATTTCATAGATCCTACAGCTTTCTTTGTTGAACATCATACTTTTGAGTTTTCTTCATGTAGATCTAGTTCTTTTATTCTAGCTGCTTATATAGCAGTCATACAGTAGAAGCGCTTATTGATTTATTTTGCTACTGAGGAACAGTTGATTTTTAGAAATGGTCTTACTGTTAGAATCCGAGTGTCACAGAGCATCCTCATAAACGACCCCCCACACCCACACCCCCTGGAAATGAAATCCTGGGCGGCGGATGGAAGTTCTCAGCACTGCTGCGCCGCTTAGACTCTCAGCGGCTCACAGAGCTCGTGTTTCCTTCACACCAGTCTTATGAGTCCTGCCGGCACTTAGACTTGTTGATTTTGTCCAGTGAGATAACAGCACCTTCATTTGCGTTGCCCCAGTACTGGTGAGGCCGAGCATCTTTGCAGAAAGGCTTTGACTCGGGTTTCTCATCCGTGAATTCTCTATTCACATGCACCAACCATGTCTGTCCTCTCGTTAGTGTTCTGTGTATTCTGTGGACACTGTACCTGCCAGTTACGTGTTCTTAACCTACTTTATCTTACTCTGTAGTGTCTTCCGGTTTTTTTTTTTTTTAAGTCAATAGATGAACTTTTTAATACAAAAGTTCTTATTGGCAATGTAGCTATTTCTAGTCATTATTTTCCTTGTGGATTATGCTTTATGTTTTTGTCTTAGAAATCCTTTCTTTCCCAACAGCATAAAAATATTTTCTGATCCTAAACATTTTTAACAGTTTAGGTTTCCATATTGAAACCACTAACCTTATTTTATGTGTAGCGTGAGGCTGAGGCCTGATCTTATCTCCTTCCGGCCTATGCCAGGCATCCCAGTCCTGTTAGTGGTTACTTCTTTCCCACTCGCTTCCATGCCTCTGCCACCACTCCCATCCCTGCCACATTCACTTCGGATCTCTACTCTGTTTCTTCACACAGGGTGCCAGTCTTATGTTAATACCACACGACTGCCACATAATCATCAGTTCTGATAATGAGTGGAGAATCTTTTTTATGTCTTCAAAATAACTCATGCCTTCCCTCCATACCCCAGTGCGAGGGATGGATCCCAGAGCCTCATGCCCTACCTACTGCACAAGGACAGTGAAGATAACATGAATGCACCACTGGAAAAATACTTTGAGGAAACAACACTACATAATGTTATTCATTATGTAGTGTAATTGTCTCCTCGTCCCGGCTGGAGCGTGAGCCCAGAATGTTACGTTACCTGTCTCAGCTAACTAAGCAACTAAGTAAGGCAAGCAAACTGTGCAGTCCTGTTTCAGGTCATATAAATTATACTCAGGGTAACTGCATCATTAAGTAAACTGAGCTACTCAAAAGGTAATGAGCCGAGCAGGGCAACAGTGTCAGATAGGGCATGACTGCATAGAAGGAAAGTGAGTCCTGGCACACACGTAATGTGTGCACGCACACACACACAGTGGTAGCAGAGTATTTGTTCCGCATTCTATAAATAAGAGCAAAAGACTCGTGGAAACCCATGCAGAAACATCATGTCACACTGTTGCCTTCAGGAAATTTAAACACTATCATCTTCATTGTCAAGAACAGTTGCAGGGCCGGGGAGATGGCTCAGTAGAATAAGTGCTTGCCTGGCAACAGCAAGGGCCTGAGTTCAATCCCCGGTTCCACAAAAAAACAGTTGCACCTGTGCTCACATCTGGAACTAAACCAAGGGACAGCTCTCCCTATTAAACTTACTTAAGTAACATACAACCAGTACTACTAGTCCAAATCAGCCTAACAAATAGAATGTCTTTTAAGGTACTGAGTTAGATGGCTGTTCAGGTTTCCTTCGGGATTTACTTTGTATTCTCCTGCTTTAAGACCCCAAAAGGTTATATTAAGTTTTTATTGATGATTCTATGTATATTTATAACATTTAAAATATCACAGATGAATTTAATATGTTAACATTTAAATTTTGTAGCACCTATTCAGTAAAGACTATATACTAAGCATTTTTCAGTATCTTTTTAACTGAAAAGTATCCTTTTCAGTACATTTCTTGGGTGGTTCATACTGAGCAAGCTTTGCTTTGAGCTTTTTATGTTCATCTATAGTAGCTTCATAGTTCTCTTTCATTTCTGTCAATTCTAGGTAAAGCAGCTCAGTTTCTAGATTTTTCTGGGGTAGCAGCTCCTAAGTGATGCTTTGAAGGATCCAAAGTATTGTTAGATTTCTCTGGTTCTTCCTCAAGGTTACAAATACCTTGGTCAATGTGTCCAGCAGCCCTGACCTCACCAAGTGCCTCTAGAGCCCTCCAGCTTCTGCCAGCAGCTTGAGGACAGGCAGGTCGTGACGATGGGGCCCCAGCCCTTTGATTTTGCAAAGAAGTCTCACTAAGTTGCCCAGGCTGGCCTTGAACTTTCATTCATGCATCAGCCTCCCAAGCAGCTGGCCTTGTACCACCACACCCACTTTGTTCTCATTTCTTTAGGTTGTTATTTTCTCAGACTTCTTAAATTAGGCATAACTCTTCAGTCTTCTGTAACATATTTAAGCTGGATATTTTCAAATTACATTAACTACTTAGTTACATTCTACAAACTGATAGATAGGTAATAGTCTTTTTTATACTGTTAGATATATATTTTTAATTTCTATGTGATTATTTTGCTTTGATTTCCATTTATGTGAATTTTATTTCAGCTATTTTGATACTGATTTCTAATTTAACTTAATTTTGGTCAGAGAGTGTTTACGTTTATGTTTTGGTATTGGTGGATATCTTATATAGGACCTAGTATACAGTCACTTTTATAAATACTTTGTGTACAGTTGGCATAGAGTCTCTGGACTTTATATGTGCAGGCGACAAGTGTTACAGTATTTATGTTTTAAATGATGATTTTTGTCTGCCTCAGCTATTAATGAGTTATATGCCAAAAATAAATATATAAATACTTCCATTTGTCTTTTAATATCATTAATTTTTGTTTTCTATATTTTGACGCATTCATAATGTATATAAGTACAGTATTGCCATAGTATACAGATTCTATCCCTCATCTTGGCTTCCTTGCCCTTGAAGTTTATTTGCATAATATAGCAGTAACAGCTTTCTTTGATTAGAGTTTCTCTAATACTTCTTTCTCCACCTCTTTGCACTAATTTATTTTATTTCTTGGTTTTAGGCTTGCCTGAGTGGGGAGGCTTAGGAGTAGTTTGAATTTTTGTAGAGTTTTAAAATTTTTTCCCAAATCCATCTGAGTTTTTTCATAATACTTTATTCTTTTCTTATGTTCACCTTGTATATATCTTAGCTTTAAAAGTCTTGATTTTATAACCATTTTTCCAATCGTTCTGCTGGTATATAAGTCCTCTAGGAGATTGTTGGACATGGTGGCTCTTGCTGATGAGAGTGTTTCCTTGTGGATTTTGTCATTTTGCACACTGGATCATTCCCTGTGGGCCGTCACCTGTAACTCCAGTGCAGCCGCAGGGCAAGCGGATCTCTCCAGAGGGGCCTTGCATTGGCCTCAGCGTGGCTCCTTAGATCCCTCCAGCGCCATTCCAGGACCTGTTGGCATGTAACTTTCAGATAGGTTGCGAGGCCTATGTGTTGCGACAGTGTAACCTGAACTTCAGATTTGCCTCTGGCTCGCAGTTTGGCAAGCAGATCAAGATTCCCGCCCCTCCGCCAAGAAGGGGGGAGGCTTTGGGTTTCATTTTGCTCACCCCTCCCTCACGAAGCACCTCCAGTTAAGAGCCGTTTGTCTAGGTGGGCCGCTGGACACAGAGGCATCTCGTCTTTTAAGCCCAGGTGGTTCTGCGCAAGCAGGGCCGGGCTCAGCCTCCCAGCCCCAGCCTTGGCGGCTTGTTTGAATCTGCTGTTTCTCAGTGTTTCCTTGTTTCTGGTACCTTGGGACTTCCGTGTCGTACTTTTGTGTTTAGTTGTGAATACAGAATATTCTTAAATATTTTACCTAGCAATTTTAACTCAACAATTAGAAGATTTTCAAGTTATCTTAATCTATAATTTTGCTAGAACTAATTCAAAGGTTAGAGGATAGCCAAAAACATATAGTCGAACAATATATTTTTCTTCGTGCGGTCACTTTTTTCATTGACAACGAGGGCTTAAGCAAGATACAGCATTGCCATGGATCCGGCACACCCAGGGGCCACTCCACACGGACTGTTACTTTGTGTTTCTTTCCTCCTTAATTCTTTGATTCGCTCGCTCCTGTTTGCAGTACATGATTACTCTCATCATGTGGAGCTATTCACAGAATGCCCCGGCTAGCCCGCTGCTGAGCCTCAGTTTTGTTGTAACAAATAGAAGAAGGCTGAGGAAGAAGTAGCCTCCATTCCTGTCTTCTTCCTTCACACCCCTGTAAGGCCCTCGTCCAGGAGCTGACCACTGTCGAACTAGGTCAGTGAGGCACAGGGGCAGGGATTAGGTGTGCGGCTGCACTGTCGCTGTCTTCTGCGCCCAGTTGGACAGCCAGGTTTTCTGTTGCCCGTTACCTGGCTTCCCCTGTGCACCCACAGCAGGCTGCCACTTTTATCTTGAGGGGACTTGAGCTGCTGGTCTAGAGATGAGCAGTCCAGCCTTTCCCTTCCCAGCATGGAGGTATGACTGCCCTGTAAGAAGACTCCTCAAGGCTCTTCTCTGACGACTGTTGTTGCTCTCTTTTTAGGGAGGCATGATCAACTGGAATCGTCTCTTCCCTCCTCTGCGCCAGCGACGAAACATAAACTACCAGGACGGCCGGCAGTCCGAGCAGCCAGCCTCCCCTCCCCTGGAGGTTTCTGAGGAGCAGGTAAAATCAGTAGCACATGGGGCTTGGCCTAACCATGCCCCGGCAGACTTAAGGCAGTTTGGCCCGTGGGAAATCCAGGCTCAATTTGGAAAGAATGAAGCATATCAACACAGAGCCTTTAACAGCAGTTGTCACCAGTGGTAGTGACTTTAGGCTTTTATTAGCTACTATTACTTTTACCGTGAGGTTGAAGAAAATGTGACCTGAGGAGGAAAATGCGTGGTGCTGGCTTATGTTAAAATCTCTTACACTTTATGTAGAGAAGACACTAGAGAAGTTGGTTCCTGACAAGGAATGGAAGAGAATGGAAGGATGGGGCGAGAATGCTACCTCTGGCGTATAGTCTTGACTTTTATGATTTTAAATCAGATTAATGTTTTACATCGTTGAACCAGCAAATCAGCAAGAACAGGGACTGTGTCTGCTGTTTTGTTTTGTTGCAACCATCATAGTAAAAGTCAGTTCAGCAAAGAATTACAAGAATTACCTCAACATTGTGAAGACTGGGCTTTTTATATATTCTCAAAATATCTACCAACAAGCTGCTTATTAATTACAAAAGGAAAATAGTACTATATAGTGAGAAATCGGACACCACCTTACCCAGGCTTTCGGAGATGGCTCAGAAACAGTGTGTGTGTGTGTGTGTGTGTGTGTGTGTGTGTGTGTGTGTGTTCAGAGAAACTCAGAGAAAGAGGTTCTTGGTATTGTTCCAGAAAGTCATTTCAAACTAGTAAACCTTTACCATCTATAAAGCATGCTCAGAACACTGCTGTGCTAGCACTTGGAGATTTCCGTCTGCCTATGTTTTCTCCTGAGCAAACAAAACAGATTGAGGCCAGCACGTCCCTGCTGGCCACACCATACAGGCCCCCGTTTTCCTGTCCTTTCCTAGAATAAATACCAACCTGGTGCAGAGGCACCAGCCTCTAGGCAAAACCATGTCCTTGTGTGGACCCGGAAGGTTTTGTGGAACCGCAGCCCTGGTTAGCTGCACCACAGGCTCTGAGAGGCACTCGAAAGTGCTGGGTGAGTGGGAGCGGCCCCCACCTTTGGTCTCGGCCCCACTGGCACCCCAGCCGCTCCTCAGGGCTGGAGAATTCCTCTCCCACCTCCTCCGGAGGATTTCTAACACGTTACCCCAGGGGGAAGGAGGAAAAGCCCAGAAACCTGCATTTTGGAAGAAAGTCTTGATTCCATGCAGAAAGAAATATCAAAATTTGTGTACCTGACCTAACAGTGAGTCACTTGCTTCGCAGGGCAGCTGTTAGGGACAGGAGACATTTACAGGTGAGGTGTTTCTTGGGTTTAGCACCTTGGAAAAAAAGTGTCAGAAAGGGTGAACAAGGAGAATGGATGTGACTGAAGTCTTTAGGGTTTTTTGTTTTTTGTTTTTTTTTTTTAATGAATCGCTTTGCCTTGATCCTCCCAGAACGACAGCAGTGAGGTTAACGTGTTGGCAGTGTCAGTTTAAGGTGGCGGAGGCTTCTCCCTTCCACTCTGCTCTGAGAGGCTATAACCTCCAGCAGAGGTTGTTTTTAACATACACTTTCTTAATCACTGATTCTAAATCTCGTTTCTTGTGGTTCGCAGTTCTGCTGACAATGACTGTTACCAGCCATCATAGTATTAAAGACACAGGCTTGTCGTGGGCATTATTTATACGTGCTGTTGGCATTTCTTCTGCCAAGTACTAGAGATTGTAAAAGACGCGCTCTTGCTGTTGAGAGGTTTACAGTGAAGTTAAGGAAAGTTATAGTTAAAGTATGATCTCTTTGTTAACACAAATAAAATATTTGTCAACATATTAAGTTAGTTTTAATTAACTTTTAATCCTTAATTTTTCAGTTCACTGCGCTTATATTTTCTTTAAGTATCGGAGTCATATTTGGTCTTGTTTCATAGTACTGGGGATCAAACCTCAGGCCTCTCCCATGATAGGAAAGTGCTGTGCCGCTGAGCTGCATCCCAAGCCCCAAAGTCCTGCAGTTTTATTTTATTTTATTTTTTTTTATTTATTTATTTTTTTTTTTTTGCGGAACCGGGGGTTGAACTCAGGCCCTTGCACTTGCCAGGGAAGCACTTATCCTACTGAGCTATATCCCTGGCCCCTACTGCAATTTTAGGTATTAAAGAAACTTAATAATTTTCTAAACCTTCCAAAAACTAAGTGCTTATTTGAGCTTTTTCAGAAATAAATGTACATTTCACAAATTTTAATGGATGTTCAAAGAAAACCTATAAGGCCAATAATCCGTAAACAAAGTGTTCTAAAGAATGTACATCCTTTAATAGTGCCACAGTTAACCACATGGCTGTCAACAGTTGTCCTTTTTCTACTCTGCTATTGAAGACTGTATTTTTCTTTCTTTAAAATCCATGCTGTGTCTCTGTGGGTTCACCTACGGCCATCATGGCCCACTAGAGATGCCACTCCTGCCTTTGTGAAGGAGCCAAAAGGCGGCTTCCAGGAGACAGCTAGGACAGCCGAAGAGCCAAGCCATACCCAGCCTGGCACACAAGCGGCGTCGATGCAGAAAGCATCCCAGGAGACCAAGGGCAGCGTGTCCCACCGGCCTGCTTTGTGTGGATGTGCAGGGAAGGGCATAAGAGGACCCTGACACTCCTGTCGGTTCCCAGCTCTGAGGAGAAGTGCTCTGAGGGTGGCAGACCACACCTGAGAAAGAGAAGGCTGAACACGATGGAACACAAAGACCGTGATCGGGAGTGAAGGATTCGGCCTGCTTAGGGAGGCAAAAGGACCTCAGGTCCCTGGGAGGCCCAGTTCACCCTGTTCTGTTGAGAGTCTGCCCCAGAATCAAACCCACAATACCTGGGATGTCTGTTGGAGACATGGCCACCACAGAGTGGCTACGAACAGTGAGTGACAGGGAAAAGCGCCTCATGTAAAGCAAAGTGGGTGCCGTGGGGGCCACCAGAGTGTCCTGGAGAGTGGTGGAAGGGGAAGGCAGTGCGGACAAGGAGGAGTTTTACCCTGTCTGTGTCAGAAGAGAGCAGGCAGTCTCAGCCACCAAGTGTGCTCAGGTGTCTGCTGTCAAAAGTGCATCCATTATTCCATGTATCCTTCTTCTTCTTAGTCAGGTATTTTTACTCTGAATGAACAAATGGTAACATTTTGTCATACTTACTTCTGATTCTTTGTAAAGCAAAGGAGAGGAAATTGTCACATGTCTCTTTTG